CCCGGGCGGGCTCACGTGCTCCAGGAAGCAGGCGCCCAGCTCGCTCAGGTGCGGTCGCTCCCGGTTGAACTTCTGCTCCAGCGCCTTGACGAACGCCTTCTGGCACCGGTAGATGTCCTCGATGTTCCCAAAGATGGTGCGCAGCTGCTCCTCGCTGAACATGTCGGCGCGCTTGCGACACTGCCGGATGTAGCCCTGGGGGCGCAGGCGGTCAGGTCCCTCCCTGGGCTCCCGGCTCCCAGCCCCGCTCGCAGCCCCGCCCGCCCGCGGGCCTCACCTCGCAGATGTCGCGCAGGTGCTTGATGTAGTCCCGCTCCGTGCTGAGGATCTCGTTGATGACGTTGGTCCGCATCTGGTCCTTGCTGCTCTGCGCTTCAGCCCCGCCGTCCCCGGCCCCGCCGTGCCCGGTCCCCAGCTCCTCGTCGTCCGCAGGCTCGTCCTGGTTCACCCGCAGCTGCAGGCAATGCGGCCGGTCAGTCTCCCTCCGGGGCCGGCGCCCCGCATCCCACACGGCGGCGGCGGGCACCTGAGGCTTGGGGAAGCCATCGGCCCATCGGCCCATCGGGGCCTGGGGGGCCTGGGGCAGGATGCTCCCCCCTCACCCGCACAATGCCCAGCCAGACGCGGGACCACAGGTCTGAGGGCGCCCGCGGTGCTTGAAACCAGCGGACGCTCACTCCAGGGGTTCTGGCGCAGCGCCTGCTCTTACTGGGCCCTCCTGGGGCTTGAGGGAAGTGGATGGTGAGGTGGCCCTGCCAGCTCTGTCTGTAACTAGGAAAGGCTTGGGGTGCAGAGAGGGCAGTTTCTCCAGGAGGTCTGGTGCAGGAGGAGTGATGAACCACGGCCCGGACCACCCCTTCCACTGCTCTCTCCGCGGCCTTTCGGAGGCTGCACTTGGATTCCTTCCATGGAGACCAAGGGCTGCTGAGGAAGGATCCGGGTCCCCTCCCTGTGATTTCTTGGATTAAAGCTTAGCTTGTCCATGCCTCAATTTCTCAGGTAACCACCCCCAGGTCCCAGGACTGTCCTGAAAGTTATAGTTGAGATGACCCGCAGATCCCCTCCCTGTGGGAGGGATCCACACCCCATCATTTCTGACCCATTCTTCTCTGGCCACTGAGGGCCCCTGGGGGGATCGGCCAGGTGGAGCCAGGGCTGGAGCTGGGGGTGGCTCTGCAGGAAGAAGGCTGGGTCACAATTCCTGACTGCCACCCACCCAGCCCCAGTCCTGCAGTCTCTGCACAGCCATGA